AAAGGATGAATTTGGTCTTAGAATGACGTGTCGAAATTTTTGCTGTATAAAATTTCTATAATTTTTTCCGTTCGTTTGGTGGTAATAACTTTGATCAATTGCGTGGGACACATGATATTGTGGGATACAGAAGATCTAATGTGCATATCCAATAGAGAGAAAATTGCGACACGACATCCATTGACAGATCTGTTAGTGACACTACTACACAGTAGTGCTGTTACTACTACACTATTGCACTTATAAAAAATGTCGTATTTTTTCAATGTAAATTTTTATATGAGAAACGTGAATGTACTTTCCATAATTAAAGATTGAAACGATAATGAAATAAAGGATATAACAGAAGAAACGGAATACTCAGATCGACTAGTTTACTTTTATTCTTTTCCTTTCTTTTCTGATGTACAATTATTATTATTATTTTGTATATAAAATCACTAAATTTTGGAATTTATAGAAAAAATTGTATTGGCTACGATACATAACACGGTCATCATACTTAGCCTCTAAATTATGCGTGTAATAAAAGTTTTTTGCATATAAGAGTTACGTAATATTTAAAGAAACACACAACTATGTTTCATGGAAAATTATCTACGCCAAAGATAATCCAATAACGTTTCAATAAAACATATATTTTACTGGATTTTACTTTTTATTGATTCCGAGTTAATTATCGCGTTCAGAATAGTTGTGTATATAATGTATATAATATATATAATATATATAATATTATTTTACTAAAACGTCAATAATTGTTTTACTTTTACTACAGAAACTTAATGCAATCCATTTAAAAGCTTAGAAAAAATCTTGAAGTCATGCTAAATAAAAAAGATCTTCATTTTATATTAATATATGTCGTCCAATAAAATGTAATTTTTATATTTTGTGTAAATTGTAACTTTGTTGTCCTTTAATTTTCTTAATATTTTTAAATACATTATTTAATTATTTATTTAATGATTTATATAATTAGATATAAATATTTAGATTTAAATACACTTTAAAGAAAATCGCAAATGAGTTATTCTTATAAAAAATTTGACAAGGGGAAAAAAATGAAGTCATTCGTGGTACTTGTTCTTTTAAAAAGGAATTAACCTAATCCGTTAATTGTAATTTGCAGTATTATAAGCAATAATAAAAAATACTGCTTGTAAATATTATTATAATTCTACGTTATATTGTATTTTATTTTTATTGTTATTACTTCAGTATTATTATTCTGTTTTATTACTTTTGCTTTATATTATTATTTTTTTCTATTATCTTTGGGTTTTATTACTATTGTATTTTACTATGTTCTTATATCATATTATGTTTCTCAAATAGATATAACAAAGTTAATTTAGATAAAATATGTAAACTTAAAAGTAATTAATTCAAGTAGGAATCATACAGTAAAATTTGTTTAGGTATTAATTTAATAGAACGCCATATTTAATAGATCATATTTATAGTTAAATATTTATAAACTCCTTTTATCGTAGATATAAACCTATAAATAATTTTTCATATAAATAAAAAAATTATAATAATTTTAATCACCGTTTGTATTAAACAGTGATATAATCCACAGCTCGATCTATTATACTTAAAACCATCAGCGAACATAAGAGGAATTTAAAACTCTAGCACAATACCATTATGGAACTTATAACATATTATGTTTAATATAATATATTCATTTCCGAATACTTTATGCTAAAAAAATGATCGAACAAATACATATTACAATTTCAATACACATGCTAATTTTTTAATTCAATCAGATGTTTGTTCATTTTACAATTACTCTTATCGTTGAATTTATGAAACATATATCGCTTATAATAAATTCTTCTTTAATTCAAGAGGTTTCACTTCATACCACTATTTTTAATTTTTATCACATTTTTACATTGTGTTCTAGATTTTACGTAACATTTTGAACAAGAAATGTACAAATTTTAAAAGTATATGAAAAGTATATATGTTAAATCTAAAGATATATTGAGATGGAATATGTGTCTAAGACTTGGCAAATCATTAAATATATTCAACATTATATTATATGAATTATCAACTATCTGCTTTTTGCTGTAAAAGATTCTGGTTTTTAAAATATATTAAATCATTTAGACCAGATTTGTTTACTGACACTTTCATAGTTAAAGATATCAATTTTTATTTTAAACTTAGCGTTGGAATAAATATTTTCTAAAAAGTTTCTAAATGGTTATTGAATAAATAAATTTGCGTTGAAGATAAATTTCATTAACTGTATTCTTATATATATATTGTGAGTGAGATTGAGTGGAACTCATTTGCCTATAATTGTGCAACATGTGATATAAATATAATGTGACCGAGTGCCGTTTAATGTGAATAATGTTTGAAAGAATGTTTAGAAGAAAGTGTCAGAATAAAACAGTTGTCTCAGAAGTATCAAAGAGTGAACACGTAAATGCAACCGTTATTACGAGTGAGTGTGGGAGAAGAAACTTCTGGAAAGAGAATTTCAAAGTCTAAAAAAAATTAAATTATAATTTTAAAAGCAATGTTTTCTAAATTATTACTAAATTGTTATTAATATTATTTATGAATAAGTATAATAATGCATTACATTCTATTTGTTATAATATGATACATGTTAATAAGTATAATGATAACATATATATAAATATGATATACATATTATAGCAATGTATTAATTATATAATAATTAATTTTAATAGTAATAATAAAAGATCAAGAAAAAAGAAGGAAAACATAATATAACTATAATAATAATGTAATAATTGTAATAATATAATAATATATAATTACATAATATCAAAAATTATTAATAAATAGCATTAAAAATGTTTGAGGATGTGACATCCTATAAGGTCAGCTAGAGTTTCATATTCTCAAAACTTCACACTTACCTTGTTATTTATTACGATTCACGATGCATTTAAAACAAGGTAGGTAGTATGACAAGTAGTAAAAGTTTGGGTTAGATTTGATACTATGTGAAACGAAAAAAATTGTTCAATAATTGAAAAGGTAATAAAAAAGTTTATCTCACTTATACAGAGAATAAGAGTCAAGCAAAAGATTGAGGAGGATTGTGGACTTCATGGAAGCCACTTATCTTAAAAGTCAATGCCAAGAAACGAACATGTATAACACACGACAGTTTGGAAAATGTTGTACACCATGAGTCAAAATTAAAAATTCTTAGTAATAATAAAAAATATCCTAAATTCGAAGTATTAGGATGACTATGCAATATGGTTGTGGCTATATCTGTGGTTGTAAGGAAAAAATGAATTAAAATAAATCTTACACCTTCAACAAAATTATGCAATTTTATCGAATGCTAATGAAAACTATTGATGTTCAGAATTTTAAACGGTAATACCTGTAAAAAGAAAACATGTGGCACACAGCATTTTTCCTTACACCCACAGATATTGCAACATGAATGAGCTATGTGTTCTCAGAAATTGAATATGAAAATTCATATTACATTTCAATATCTATTATTGACGAATAAATAAACAAAGTATTGCGTAACAATGAATATTTTCTAGATATTCTGCAATTGGTATGATTTTAAAATATAAGTATGAAAATACTAATCTTTATAAATATTTACAATGTACACACTCTTTTTCTATGAAATTGTAATGTTAAATTATGATTTAATAATGCAACTTCATGTAAAAGTGTGGAAGGAGGGAGATTACTTTAAATACTGATACTGATAAATTAATTCGTAGAATAATAAATTGTTTATACAAATTAATAAACTCCTATTATTTATTTGTTTTATAATTTTTAGTCACAATAAAAAAATTAACTTTTACTACTTATTATAGTTATAGATATTATACAATAATCGTTATATGCATGATATAATAATTATTGTAGTTATTATAGCGTTATTATAATTATCGTATTTAAGTTCGATTTTCGAAATTTACTATTTCTTTTTCTATTAATATATGTTGTGTATACATTTTGATCATTAATTTATCTCTTTATTTAATCATATAATTAGTCTCTTCGAATAATTATTATAATGATAAATGTGCATTTATGTAATAGAATGATAATTTGTAGAAATAAAATTTCCATAAACCTTAATGTCAAAATAAATTGCAAAATTGCTTTTTAAAAGATACATTATTTAATATAATTTAATTTACCTCAAAATTGTCACCACTTAGCCTCTTCTATCAAAATATTTTGATCTTTATTTGGAAATCAAAAATAATTAATATCTTTTATTCTGTTGCATAAGAAAAATTTGTATGTTTTTATTTAGAAATATTTAGAAACGTTTAAATATTTAAGAAAAAGATTTTTGAAAGCAATCTAAAATTTCAGTATTACCAAGTGATTTTTATATAAACATACCACGTGTTACACATAACATATTATATGTTCATATCGCATACAAAATTGTAATGTATACAAAATAATGATCAAACTCATCAAATTATATTACTTATTATTAATTGGGTCACTCGTTTATCAAATTAATTAACTTCGTAAATTAGAAATTCGATATTTATTTTAAACCAAAGAAGTTAAGCACTAAATGTTTGGATACCGTAATTTCTAAAAATTTAAAAGACGAAGTTAATCATTAGAAACGTTTAAATATTTAAGAAAAAGATTTTTGAAAGCAATCTAAAATTTCAGTATTACCATGAAACATGCAATTTTTTAATGCAATATTTATACACAGAAAGAACATCGAAATTTTTCACTCATACGTAAGTATTAATAAACAATTTATTTCAATTTATTTCTGAACAACAAGTTGCATATTGAAAATTTAATACATGAAAAAGGAAAGAATTTTTGCCAATTATAAGACGATTTTCAGAGAAGATAGTCCAAAGAAGGTGGGTACAAGGTTGCAATTGCGATTGGGATGGTAGGGAGATATCGAAGATCGGCGAATCGATATAAAAGAAGAACGAATACTAAAGCAGCGCCAGTTTTATTAACTTTCTTTTAGGTATCACGTGGAAAAGTAAATTCCATATAGTGAATCGTACTCATCACATGCGGGTCTACCGAACAGGTAGGTGCCACCATTTCTAATCCTTATCTATTATCAAATCTCCATTTTTATTCGTAGCATTAGTTAGATATCGAAATAATATTCCAACTTTTACCAAATTTTGCTCCTTTGCCAAGCATGCCGATTCGTGAAATTATAATTTCATGTCAATATTATCTTCTTTTCAACTTCTTATATTAACATGTTACGTAAATACCGTGAATTCTAAATCACAGAATACTTGAAATAAAATAATCTTTTAACATAAAATTGGATTAATTTTGGTTTTACTTAAAAGAATTATTTTCATCTTTCTGTTTTCGATTTATTCACGTTTTATCAGTTACTATTTCCTTGTTATTATTTTATTAGCTACTATTGCTATTTTATTATACTTATTTTATGTAGATACGTAAATCTTTAGAGGAGTCTTCGCAACCGTTCTTTATCATCTCGTGCACTTTCTTTTCCTCTCTTCCGTACGTTGTAATGTAAACAAATATATTCTTATTATCGTAGACTATTTGTCAATTTGATAATAGTGTAATATTAATCATTTAAAGAACTCCAAATTTTTTTATTTCTGCTTATTTACTTGATTTATAGAAATTATTTAGAAAACTGTATTTAGTTATTAAAACAATTAGTTATTAGTTATTAATGCAATTTCATTAATTCTACTTTTCTAATTAAAATCATTTGTATTCTTTTTTTCCAATTTTTTGATCGTATAACAACGTTTAAGCAATTACACTTTTACAAAATTTAACAGATGCGTTCATGAAATACGATTATGAATTAAACTTATCCAATATTTAAGTCACGAATTTGAATATCGAAGGCATTAAAATATTTCGCTTGAAACGATCGCGAATATGGCAAGAGAGCTTCCAAATCTTATAACAATGTAACGTTGCTTTTGTAAAAGTACATTGACAGATTACAAAATGGCGAGGATGCGAAAGAAAATAAGTTAGAACAAACGAAACTCGCTGAGATGAGAAATCGCGTAGATCGAAAGCTTAAATAGTTTGTTGTAAATTATTCGTGTGTACATAGCCTGCATTACAACATACCTAGGGGCACGACAAGGTATCTCGAGATTGAAGAAAATAACGGGTCCCATAAAATTAGAGACGTGGTGTGAATTGTTATTTTGACTTGTTTAAAATTGACTTGTTTAGCAATAAATTATTGGATAACGAGAATAAAATTTTCCGAAATTAATTGAAGAGATGGTAAAATTTTTGAAAAAGCACATCTATAAATAGTAATTGGTAATAAAATGGAGGAAGAAATAACAGCGTGGAAGGGAGAAAGGGAGGTAGAGAGGCGAAGTGAAACACTCTCGAGGTCGACGAAAGAATGACGTGAGCTCCAAAATATCATTCTTGGAATGTAGGACATTAGAAAAGTAAAAATCGAGAATCTCTGTATGTGTGTATTCCTTTCTCTTTCGATCGGGACGATGTGGCCTGGATCAGCTATTTCCGGGTGATGGGTCTTCCTTTTTCCATAAATTAAAATTAATGCTTTTCACCACTTTGCCCAGATGTCAGCATCCTTATATACAACACTTTCTTCGTATTTAGTCGTCGTCTGTCTCACTCCTTTATGTTTACTTTCAATCTCTTTTCAACCTTTTTACTCTTTTTATCTCTTTTATATATTATTTTATATACACGCTCGAAGTAATCATAAACAATTTACTTTTTCTCGTTTCCCTCTTTACGGATATACTTGAAATAACACGAACATTATTTTCGCCATTTTCGCAGTTTTATAGGTAATAAAAAATCTCGCGTGAAAATATCATTCCGTTAGTGTATCATCCCTATGCTGATTAACGAACACGTTGATGTGATTAGCGATAAAGACGGAATATTCAATTGGTCGTAAATATCTTTAAAGAATTAAATCCTTTCACACCAATAAGTTCTAAGTCGTAAATTAAAATTTATTAAAATTCGTAAATCAGTTTGATCGAATGTCCATTGCTAAGTAATTTAATACCAATTTTACACAATTTTCCTCTCTTTTATTTCGTATTAGTACTCATGGAGAGAATTTAATGATCATGTTCAACTAATAAGAAATATTGAATTTGAAGATCTTAAATGTTCGAGTATTTTCAAGCAATATTATTCGATTTTATTACGTATTGTGGTATAAATTTGTTCTTAAATGTAAATATAGAATTAAAATTACGAGAAACAGGCAAGACGTAATTTAACGTAAATTTATTTAAAATATGAAAGCAAAAATAAGTGATATTTAAAATAAAAGTAGGTAACAGGAAGTTAACGCAAACAGAATATGAATAAGATATCATCAGAGAATGATCGAAATTGTTTGGTGTGTCATACAAACAATTTACATATGAGTAATATAGCAACTATTTAATCTCTTGGAAGTAGAGAAGACACAAAACGAAGAAATTAATATTCCGTTCAAATACCAATGCATGTTGAGCTATAACGAACAGTTCATATACATATTATTACTTAACGGATCACATATCGCAAATTTATTTTAACTCATTTGGCGTTAAAATATTCGGTTATTGAATAAAATTTTAAAAGAATTTTTTAACAAAAAGATATAATAAAAATATTTATCTTTTTAATTCTATACATATCAATTCTATAACAAATAATTTATCAATATAATATAATGTGATATAATAAATACCATATTATTGTGAAAGTTGCAATAAAAATTTATCTTTTTAATTTTATATTTATATACAACAAATAATTTGTCAATATAATATAATGTGATATAATAAATATTATACTATTGTAATATATTTAAATAACATTAGATATAGTATATAATATATTTACTTTAATATTAATATTTGTATGCATTTATGAAACAGCATTTATAAAACACAATTTTTAAAATAATTTAGAATAGCAATATTTGTCCTTTCATCATACCAAAGAAACTAGCTAGAAAAATAAACTGATTTTTTCTACCTTTTAATTTACCTTAAATTTTTATTTTAAAACGTTTTTGGGGGTAACTCACGTGTCGTCAATTTTTGCGATTTCACGTTTTTCCTTTAAACTAACATTTTTTGAATATTTCTTATTATTATTGACTAACGCAAATATGTTCATAATTCCTAAGATGCTTATACACCCCTATTTTAAACATTTTTGCAGACATACGTAGTAGGAAGAGAAAAGAAATGCTTCTCGGGTCATTAATATTGATTACTAGTATTTTCTCAACAAATGGAGCTGTCATTCAAATACCAGGAAACGTTAAAAGTCCAGGTTTGTAAAAATCTTTGGTTCCCAGAATTCGATATTTTAATATTTATGCTTGTAAAATACTATTGTAAGATATATATATGCATATATTAGTTACATAAAATCTCTCTTATTCCGTGTTTTACAAAGTTTATTTAATCTGAAAATATTACTTCAAATATTTTCATATCGATTGTTTTCAGAATAATATTTAATTATTTTCTCATAATTTACTAAATATTGTAACCTCTCATGTCTATTATATATATGTTCTTCTGTACTCTATATTCAAATTTGACAAGCCAAAAGAGATGTAATATTTATCTTTCCTTTGTCGAATCTCTTATTTAATTCAAATTCGTCGAGTGCTCATTGTTGCACGAATGTATTTCAAATCGTCTCTTTGTTTGAACAGTGCCACGAAAGTTTGATCAAGAAGAAACCATACTTCAAAATTCCGGACGGCAGTTAGTATTTCAAAACCCTGAACAAGTGCTATTCAATAATCCGGAACAACAAGAAGTAATATTTCAACCGGAACAGCAAGGTGTTGCGATATTCGAGAACTCTCGACAAAAGTTGGACCAAGACCAAATTAACGACGATTATTTTACCTCCGATGTTTCCAATGCCGCAGGACAGGAAACCGATTTTACGATTAGCTGCATTGGATCTAACAGGATCTGTACTAGCAAAAACGATTGTGTCAATGGTTATATTCGCTTGAATAAAGGTATCACTTATTCGTCACCTGCTCAGGTAAACATTGGTTCTTTCTTGAAATAATTTATGCATAAGAATGTAATTTGGTTGCGAGTATTTATAACTGCTTTCTTAATTGCAACGCTTTTGTCAATTAATCTGGATAATTTTTATTTCAACAACGACGTGACAGGTTTCTAGTGTTTCATAGGAATAGGAATATTAGTTTTTATTACATTGAAAATTATATAAATTATAATAGGAAAAATACATTAATAGATAACTAATAGTAGTTAAAATATTATCTCCGTTATTCGTGTCTTATCTATTTATTTTAGTATGAAATATTTTATAGTGTAATATTTCATATTATTATTATTATTTTAAAATTGAATATTTTATATATTATATTATTATTATTTTAATATAATAGTGTAATATTTTAGTATGAAATATTAATATTTAATTAATATTTAATAATAAAAATTACTATTTTTATTAATATTTTGTATAATATTTATGTAAGAGAAAGGATTAATTATATATCAGTTTAATATATATTTATTCGAGGTAAAATTGAATTCCAAGTAAAATTCTTCAATACAAATTAATTAAATTACGTGAAATAGAGCGAATACAATAATTTTAATACATCAATAATTAAATCCGAAAATAATTAAAGTTAAAATTAAGTTTAATTTAGGAAATTCGATCATGTTTCTTACGTATATTGTAACAATATTTCCCGCTATTAGTTTTAAAGTAGCGAGATGAATTTTTTTTTCTATTAAAAAAGTTTTTTAATAGAACTTTTTTCTATTAATTTAAGTCTTACTATCTGATTTTTTCTATTGATTTAATTTTTACTCTTTTAATTGTTTTTAATAGTCTCAAGAATGTAGAATATTCGACCAAGCCTGTTGCACAATTGTGAAAGAACCTCAAGGAGAAGTCCACACATCTGAAGATGTAAAATTCACAAAT